CAGGGAGCCCGATGCGGGACTCGATCCAGGGACTCCAGGATCATGACCTGAGCCGAAGGCAGTCGCTTAAACAACTGAGCCACCCAGGCGCCCGATAATGTAAAATTTATTAATTTAATCATTTTTATACAGTTCAGTGATATTAAATGCATTCATAATGTTTGCAACCATTACCACCATCCATCTCTAGAACTCTTTACATCTGGTAAAACTGAAACTCTGTACCCATTAAACATTAACTCCCCATTCTCCCCTCCTCATTACTTGGCAACTACCATTCTACTTTTTCCTCTATGATTTTCACTACTCTAAGTACCTTATATGCATACAATATTTGTTTTTTTGTCACTGGCTTATTTCACATAACATAATGTCTTCCAGGTTCATCCATATCGTAACATGTGTCAGGATTTCCTTTCTTTTTAAGCTGAATAATATTCCATTATTTGTACCACATTTAGCTATTGTGAATAATGCCCTAAGTTCAAAATCATGTAAAATGTGGCATGCAACTTCAAGGAAAAGAAGTCTACCTTCTATAGGTCCTGAGTTGTCTTGTGTTGACTTGCCTGATGTTCTATAGTATGTGTTTCTTTTGCAGGTGAACCGTCCTATTGGCAGGGTACAGATCTTCACTGCAGATTTGTCCGAAATTCCCCGTTGCAACTGTAAAGCTACTGATGATAACCCCTGTGGGATCGACTCTGAGTGCATCAATCGCATGTTGCTCTATGAGTGCCACCCCACAGTATGTCCTGCCGGAGGACGCTGCCAAAACCAGTGCTTCACTAAGCGCCAGTATCCAGAGGTTGAAATTTTCCGAACATTACAGAGGGGCTGGGGTCTCAGGACAAAAACAGATATTAAAAAGGTGGAGAAAATTTTTCATAATTTCCAGATTTTTTTTTCTTCTTTGCAATTGCTTAATATGAGTAATTATTCTTGATGAATATGAGAAAATGATCATTAGAGGAAAGATAACATAGTGTAAGGATTAACCTTACTGTTGGGTCTTGCTGTGTCCTTCTAGAGTTTTTTTTTCCTTCTAGAGTTTAGATGCTTGAGAATAGTCTCCTTTACCTCTAAAGTCCTTAGTATTGCTCATGTTCATGGTGTGTGAGGATGAAAAAATGAAGGAAATTCATAGAGATACTATGGCCTTACTTGCTCTTTTGTGACAATTCTGGAACTTGTAGTTAAGAGGAAGGGGATAATGAGTATGTGATACAGAGGTGTTAATCACCTAATAAAATAAAATCTGTTTTTACTAAGGGAAATTCGGTTTAGGTTCATGGAAAATGACGAAGAGGATTAGGCCTTATCTAATAAAAGTGCAGTAACATCTTCAACTTCAAACTTAGGATCTGCAAGTTTCTTTTCTTTTTTAATTTTATTATGTTATGTTAGTCACCATACATTACATCATTGGTTTTTGGTGTAGTGTTCCATGATTCATTGTTTGTGTATACGTGCCCTCCTTAATACCACTGGGCTAACCC